AGACTTAATTAAGTAACATTAAACACATGGTTATTACGGGGGAATGATACAGGTTATATTGTGTGACATGAAGGCTGTTGGATAGTACTAGACTTAATTAAGTAACATTAAACACGTGGTTATTACGGGAGAATGATACAGGTTATATTGTGTGACATGAAGGCTGTTGGATAGTACTAGACTTAATTAAGTAACATTAAACACGTGGTTATTACGGGGGAATGATACAGGTTATATTGTGTGACATGAAGGCTGTTGGATGGTACTATCCGACGATAGTACTAGACTTAATTAAGTAACATTAAACACATGGTTATTACGGGAGAATGATACAGGTTATATTATGTGACATGAAGGTGTTACTTAATTAAGTCTAGTACTATTGTCGGATAGTACCATCCAACAGCCTTCATGTCACATAATATAACCTGTATCATTCCCCCGTAATAACCATGTGTTTAATGTTACTTAATTAAGTCTAGTACTATTGTCGGATAGTACCATTCAACAGCCTTCATGTCACATAATATAACCTGTATCATTCTCCCGTAATAACCATGTGTTTAATGTTACTTAATTAAGTCTAGTACTATTGTCGGATAGTACCATCCAACAGTAATAACCATGTGTTTAAGGGGAAATGATACAGGTTATATTATGTGACATAAGTATTATATTATTACTTTTACAAGAAAACATTTTGTCTAGTGATAATATATAAATACTGTTCATATTTGTTACTGGACGATAGTATAAGTTTTATTGGGTGTTATGAAGGCTCGGAAACTTAATGTTACATCGTAGGTAATGAAAGAAAATAGTACGTTTATGTTGATTTTGTCGCACTTCAGTTTTCCATTCTTCTGTTAAAATTGTAATAAAATGGATGACGTTAATGTAATTAATGGTGAAAGAAGCCATTTTAACCATTTTCTAAAATCACTTTATAAATCACCTTGGAATGTGCCAGAATATCTGTTTGGATTTAAAATAGTTAACTATAAGTCAGAATAATGAATGGTTGATTATTCTGATTTATACATAACTATTTTATGCCCCCCAGTGGCACAGCGATATGTCTGCGGACTTACAACGCTAGAAACCGGGTTTCGATACCCGTGGTGGGCAGAGCACAGATAGCCCATTGTATAGCTTTGTGCTTAACTTCAATCAAACACACAATCAAAAAAACTATTTTATATTAATTATTTGGAAATGATATCTTAAAATATCTGATGCTCATTTATTAAACAACTGATTTTGGTTCCCAATTGCATATGAACGTATTTGGATTCAATTCTTAAATAAGCGAACTTTTTGTAACATAAATTTAGGTATTTGCTCTTTTTTAATTTTGTGTTAATTATTTATCCGTTTTGTTTTTACTATTTTTCGAATACATACTCGTATATTTTCAGAAGCCTCTAGCAGATGGCAGCAGCTACCAAATAAAGTTTTTTAATACCATAAATTATAGAACAACCACGAACTTTTTTGGCTCCAATTCTGCGCACGGAGATATTAAAACAATTCCTAAGTTATTTCTTTAAAGCATCAAGTTGCAAACTAATATATATATATATAAGCTACCAAAAGTCTTTATATTAAGTAATTATCGTTCAGAAATTAGGGATTATTTTTTTCTTGATGTTAGTAAGAAAACAATAAACTAAAACTTTAATATGACTGAACAGTATTTGTTTGTTAGAACAATATTCAGATCAATTCAACTTGTTTTTTTTTTCTTTTTCGGTCAGAATTAACGAATGTCTTCACGAGGCCGTGATTTTAGTGTGACCAGTGTTACAACTTTCTAACCTAATTAAAGCATAAATCACCTCGATAATATATATTTCTCTCACCAGGATACGCCAGCTTCCGTGTCCTTAGGCCTTCGTATGGAAGAATTGATTTTTAATTTAGCAGACACACATTTTTTCTTCAACGACTTAGAGGTGAGTAATTTCGAAAAATCTGTATTTCTGGTGCGTCATAGATAATAGTAAAAACAAATAAAACTGTACGTGTGAAAACTAAATTGAAATGTTACTAAAGAATTAAAATAACTTCGATAAATTGAAATTTTTTTTTTTTCATTTTCTTAAATAGATCTATAAATTTAATTAGTTCATGTTATATAGAGAAATCATTTGAGAAGCACTATATTTCTATAATTAAACCTAACTAATTAAAGAACACAAAATCATTATAAATTTATTCTACCTCTATAATGAATTATGTATTTTTCAATACTTTTTATAGAACAACAGGATTATAACCACATTTATCAACTGAATTAGAAAATAATTAAATATTTCTTAACTTGTTACACACCAAAACAGACGGATATAACCACATGTATAAAGAAAGTTTAAATTTAAAACCGCATGTATAAATATATCTAGAGGAGAATAATAGATTTATTAAAACTTCTTTGTATATCAAGAGCTTAATTTTAAAGCTTCTTTACCTTTGCCTACAAATATTACTATTTCTGTGAGTTTTGGTCAATACACATATAATTATCCTTATAAGTCTAGCTCTGTTATTGAATCAAAATCATTATAAATGTTAACTACTTCTTCGAAATCATATATATATATACATTGAATATTATGTTAACATGTATTAGAGAAAAATATATCAATATAAAATGGTACTAGAGTTTCTCGTTAGATGCCGCCACATACCTATTTTAGACTTTTGAGTTATTCAATTTAAAAAGTCACTTCCCTTGGATCGATCCCACCATTCACATATTCTTGGAACCTGTTTTTCATTTCAGACGTCAATGGGACTTGTGATAATGTTTAAAAATAAACCAGGTATCCACAGAGGCTCCATTTGGGTGATTCAAATAAAGAAGCTACTTTCGTGAGACGAAAACACAACTAAGATTTTAGGGAAAAAGTATAAAAATGCACATTTGATAATAAGGTAAAATGGGTCCTATTGGACCGATTAATTTTTTTTTCTATTCTGGTTGGCCCACGGGCATCCTATCTGGTCAGGGCGACTAAAGTGGATTTTTACTTACACAACATTGCATAGAATAATTGTTTTAATTCAGTTTACATATAAAATCCAATAACAGTTCTTATTACTACTAACCGTGGATAAATCGATTCAAAACATCAAAGGATGGACGAAATATGTTAATCTTGGAGTTTGTTGTAATGACAAAAAAGGAAGAAATTTAGATACAAAAGTGGACATAATACATTCCATGTTAACTTGCTAGAATACGTACTAAACTTGCAGGGATGGAATTTAAATAGAATTTTCATGGTGCTCCTCGGCTGGACCTGTTCTAGCATTAGCATGCCCAGACTGTAAATTCGAGGATTCATGGTTCGCGTTTCGGTGTTGCATTATTGACCTAACCATATAGTCCCTTAGCATTTATTAACATAACCACGTAGTTTCTTAACGTTATTAATATATCCACCTGGATCATAACCACCTAACTCCTTAACGTTATCAATATAACCACCTAGATCATAACCACCTAACTCCTTAACGTTATTAATATAACCACCTGGATCGTAACCACCTAACTCCTTAACATTATTAATATAACCACCTGGATCATAACCACCTAACTCCTTAACGTTATTAACATAACCACCTGGATCGTAACCACCTAACTCCTTAACGTTATTAATATAACCACCTGGATCATAACCACCTAACTCCTTAACGTTATCAATATAACCACCTAGATCATAACCACCTAACTCCTTAACGTTATTAATATAACCACCTGGATCATAACCACCTAACTCCTTAACGATATCAATATAACCACCTAACTCCTTAACGTTATTAATATAACCACCTGGATCGTAATCACCTAATTCCTTAACATTATTAATATAAACACCTGGATCATAACCACCTAACTCCTTAACATTATTAATATAACCACCTGGATCCTTAACATTATTAAAATAACCACCTGGATCATAACCACTTAACTCCTCAACATTATAAATATAACCACCTGGATCATAACCACCTAACTCCTTAACATTATTCAAAAAATAAAAAAACGTTTGATTTCTTGGCGTTGTTAACATAACCTTGTGGCTCCTTTGCATTATCAGTGTACCAATACCCACTTAGCTCTTTGTTAGTAAGATAATCCCTAGCAGTCGTATTTTCCACTTGCCAAACAATGTTACTTGACCAAGAACAGAAATAGAACAGGTTTCAATATGCCCTTGTATACATGTACCTTTTCACTGTTATGTGGACAACACGCGTCGCTGAAAGTTCTTATAATAACTCGATAAAACCTCAGAGCTTCAAACAGGTGAACCTGTCTTCATCAGAAGCATATTTATCATTCTAACGATAACAAGTCCGCTAGGGTCCGACCTTTTTTTTTATGTGATATACAAACATTTTTGATCACAGTAATATCGGGAATATATGCACATAAATAAGGGGAAAAAGTACTCTCACAAAGAAAAAAAAACAACCAAGTTTCTAACGAAACATCTCTATCGTTGTTTGAGCTTGGTATACTTCAACTAGCTTCTATTACTGTACTTGATACTTCCATGGAGCTACAATAGCAAGAACTAAATGATGACACGTTTTTATGTATCCAAAAACGCGCACGATGTCATGACCATTGCGTATATGACGTCACGCTACCTTCCCCCTAGTCAATCACTTCTTAACTAGCGGATGGCTAGCGCAGATAGCCTTCGAGAAATTTCGCGAAAATTTCAAACAAAAACAGCCAACATTCTTAGTATTTTAATGGTAAAAAATGTGCTGGACCATCTCTTTCCAAGTTTTGGAGTTTACCAATGAAAAAAAAAACCATTCTCCAGTTACCTGTTTCTGTAAATATATTAATGGTAAATGCAAACAATATCATTGATTAAGCATTTCGTGTTTTCAGTACAAGTGTTTGGAACAAAAGCTATGAAGGGCTGGATGAAAAAAAGGAACCAAATAAGATAGGGATAGAAATGGCCATATCACTCGATCCGGCTAATGATCACACAGAAAACTAAGCCGTATCGACTGTACGTGTAGAATAAAATCCCTACATTCCCTACTTTCTCTATCGAAAGCTTGGTATTTGAATAGAATCTCAGCTTTCATCATTTTCTTTAGTTAACTTTAGAATACTACTTTTATGACTATTTTACAATAGAGTAATATTTTACTATTGGAAATTCTGGTTCTATTTGTTTTTCCATTGAGGAAGCCAGTAATGATAGTGATTTTATTCTCCGTGTAAAGTCGAGACGACTTAATATGCTATGTGATCATTAGCCGGATCAAGTGATATGTCTACTTCCATCCCAATCTTGTTTGGAAGTATATTGTTATTTATTTAGCGATAATTTGTTCTTTGGTTACTTTTTTTTATAAGATAGCGTACATGGGTTACTAGGTTATAGAGTGTATTCTAAAGCTATATAAATTTTACATATAATAATAATAATGAAATAGGTAGTCAAAGATCGTGAAGACTGTTTTGTTCTATCAAATGATGAGAGAACTATAGTTACTACAAGAACTATGTAGGCGCTAGGCCTGTTGAAGAAAGATGACGATGAACGAACATTAGAAATCTCGGTTTTGGCAATTCGCCGGTTTTCGACTTTGGGACGCATAGACTTTAGAAACAAACTGTACTTCTTTGTAAATAAAGAAACCTGTGCAGTTTAAATACCGAAAAAAATGGTATTTCGCTTTTAACGCAGCTGGTTCTCTCCTATAGATGCTAAACCTTAAATGCTGCTAAACCTAACTTTGACTCGTAATGGCGGATTTTGTGGTGCAAGTCTTTAGAGTTCTTCGCTTAAAACGTGAAATTGTAATTTTTTTTATTGTGGAACGTTGATGTCTTTCAAAAATAAGAGACAACTTTACTGACTGACTGATTATATCTGAAGTACAAAGGTACAAGGTACTTATTAGGTCTTTTTATTTTTAGACGCAAATGATGCTACAATATTATAACTATTCTATCATATTGTTACGTCTCCGTTTGTTAATTGATTTTCCGTAAATTCGTTCCCACGAAAGTTTAGCGACACAAGTC